GCTGTCCCCATGGGTGCTGCCACCCACAGCGTCCCTGCGCTCCCCGGGGTCCCCAAGGTGTCCCCACAGCTCCCAATGTCCTTTGTGTCCCCAAGGTCCCTGCAGCCCCTGGTGTCCCCAGAGCCCCTGGGGGCCCCTGCCACCCCTGGTTGTCCCCAAGGTCCCAGGTGTCCCCACAGCCCCTGGTGTCCTTGGTGTTGCCATGGCTCCCGCCACCCCCTGGTGTCACCAGTGTCCCCAGAGCCCCTGGGGTCCCGGCCACCCCTGGGGTCCCCATGGCCCCTGCCACCGCTGGGGTCCCCAATGTCCCAGGTGTCCCCATGGCCCCTGCAGCCCCTGATGTCCGTGGTGTCCCCACAGCCCCTGGTGTCCCCAGAGCCCCCAGTGTCCCCAAGCTCCCAGTGTCTCCAGAACCCCTGATGGCCCCAGAGCTGTCAGTGTCCCCAAGGTCCCAGATGTCCCCAAAGCCCCAGGTGTCCCAGGAGCCCCTGGTGTCCCCAAGGTCCTGGGTGTCCCCAGAGCCCCTGGTGTCCCCAAGGTCCCAGGTGTCCCCAGAGCCCCAAGTGTCCCTGCAGCCCCAAGTGTCCCCAAGGTCCCAGGTGTCCCCAGAGCCCCAGGTATCCCCAAGGTCCCAAGTGTCCCCAGAGCCCCTAATGTCCCTGCAGCCCCAGGTGTCCCCAAAGCCCCCAGAGTCCCCAAGGTCCTGGGTGTCCCCAAGGTCCCTGGTGTCCCCAAGGTCCCGGGTGTCCCCAAAGCCCCCAGTGTCCCCAAGGTCCCGGGTATCCCCAAGGTCCCAGGTGTCCCCAGAGCCCCAGGTATCCCCAAGGTCCCAAGTGTCCCCAGAGCCCCTAATGTCCCTGCAGCCCCAGGTGTCCCCAAAGCCCCCAGAGTCCCCAAGGTCCTGTCCCCAGAGCCCCTAACGGGTATCCCCAAGGTCCCAGGTGTCCCCAAAGCCCCCAGTGTCCCCAAGGTCCCGGGTATCCAAGGCCCCAGGTGTCCCCAGAGCCCCAGGTATCCCCAAGGTCCCAAGTGTCCCCAGAGCCCCTAATGTCCCTGCAGCCCCAGGTGTCCCCAAAGCCCCCAGAGTCCCCAAGGTCCTGGGTGTCCCCAAGGTCCCGGGTGTCCCCAAAGCCCCAGGTGTCCCCAAGCTCCCAGGTGTCCCCAAGG